TGTCAATTACACTTCAGTAAAAAAAAGGAAATTGATGAAGTCAATTAGAGAGTACTAATAAACAAAGTGGTATGAAGCATATGAATACACAACCTTCATTTCTAGATTCTTCCCTAAGATTTCCTTCTGAAGAATCCTGTCTCTTTTGTTGACTGATTTTACTTTTCTTGTTGTGGGAGACAATTACTAACCGCTAGGAACTAAAATTCCTGACGAAAACTCTCTGCCCTTCTATAGGCCTAGTAAGTCAAGAGATGACCATCTATCTCCAATATTATAGGCGGACACAACTTTTAATACCTCGCCTAATGGATTTGCCCAAGAGAGAAACTCCAAATGCTTTAAATTTGGGTCTATCAAACTGAAGGATGCCTATCCCTCAGGGAATGCAGATGACAGTGATGGAACACATAAAGCCAAAGAATAAATGCTGTAGATATTTAGGAAAAAACCTTTTTTTGTGTCAAGTAAACAGTTACATTATGGTACTTCTGTTAACTTTTGTTAAATTTTAGGATAAAGCTTAAAAATTCAAATAGATGTTGAGCTTACTGCAGCTGCCTTTTGCTATGGTACCCAGGCCCCAAAAGGCCTTCCTCTCTGCACTCACCTTTGAAGCTAAGTGGAAAAGTTTGCAAATCATTGCCTTAAGTAATTACCTAGGTCTCTCTAAGGTTTCTACTTCAACTCTATCACACATCTATGCAACATGAAACAAACTAGGAAGACAAACCATAAGAAACAGCAACAAAATGATGGGAATTATATGTATATTATTTTGAACTGAGATTTGCTTTTGATTCTAAAAGTAGTAATTATGACCCTACTAATTCAAAGCTTAGGCTTGGCAACCTGGGATAAATAAAGATGAACAGTTAGTTCTTACTGCAACATGTTAAAAATCTGGTACATGTACACTTTACAACTATTATCAAAACTTCCAAGAAAATTAATCTGGTCCACTTAATAATAAATATAATTTTGCACTTGCTGTTCCCTCTGCCTGGAACACTCTCCTCTTCAGTCCTTCACATTGCTGATTCTTTCTCATCCTTCAAATTCACCTCTTCAGAGAAGCCTTTCCTAACCATCCCACCTAAAGTAGGCCCTCTATAAATATGTTATTATCCTATTCATTTCCTTCAAAATCCTTACTACAATTTGTAGTTATCTGGTAATTATTTACTCTTTTATTTATCATTTGTATGTCTTTTCTCAACAGAACGAGCAAGAACTTTGCCTGTCTTATTTATTGCCACATTCCCATGTCTATTGAGTGTCATTCAATAAATTTTTTTTTTTTTTTTTTTGGTGAGGAAGATTAGCCCTGAGCTAACATCCGTTGCCAATCCTCCTCTTTTTGCTGAGGAAGACTGGCCCTGGCCTAACATCCGTGCCCATCTTCCTCTACTTTGTATGTGAGACACCTGCCACAGCATGGCTTGATGAGCAGTGCATAGGCCCATGCCCAGGATCCGAACCTGCGAACCCCGGGCTGCTGAAGCGGAGCACACAAACTTAACCACTATGCCACCGGGCCGGCCCCCAATAAATATTTTTGAATGAAAGACTGCTGCATAGTATTTAGAAATTCAAAAACAGACTTTCAAAACTCTAAAAAATCACACTGTGGAGCTGTTATAATCTGGCTCTCTTTTCTTACAAACGTAAAAAGAAACAGAGGCTCACCGACTTCCCTCAAAACCTTTTCAGAATTTCAAGCATGGGGTGGAGCCAGGACTAGTCTTTCATTTCCCTGTCTGCCACTCCAGGGAGCTTTCCAAACCACGCTGTTGTTTCTTCTAGTCGCACTTTATTAGTCCTACAGCATGCATAAACAGTGTTGAACACACACGAAAACCAATTGTTTGCTTCTTTTAAAATCCATAAACTGCCTTTTTTTTCTTTTTTGCCAACTACAGTGGAGAAATCACATGCTAAGGAGGTTGACCTGTATGTCATGTGCAGAAGAAGAGATGGAATCCCATTACAATCCAATCCTGTTCCACAGCATAGCCTGTGAGCCTCACCTCTGTGCTGATGTGGCCAGAGCAGCCACGTATTCACTACATAAGGTCATAAAATGTATTTTGAAATCAGAAGTAAATGCCATATGCATTGACATCTCACATATCCAATAAATTAACTAATGTAACTATTACATACTTCAGTAGCCATGCCTATTTTCCTCAAAGAGGTCCAATTTAAACTCAAGTGACCAAGAAAAAATATCCTACAAAAAGAGAAAGGCCATATAAGCAAGTACCATCACAGTCACAAATCACAAATCACTAGAAACTCCTAGAGAAGGACATGGCTTACTGATCTGGAATCAGACCTATTTGGCAACCTCACAGGTAGCCAGTAACTAAGCCACCATGTCTGACGATAAAACATTTCCCCCTAAAAGAAACAGGAATCTTACTGAACAACATCTTTCTAACCTCCTGGAATATCTGAGTATTTTGTGGTGGCTAGGTCAAGGTTCTTCCCTCCAGGCAGCAGCACTCCACTGCCTAGAGCTCCCGGGCTTGAAGTCACAGCTCGAAATTCCCTTCATCAGGATCCATGGACCAATTAACCCGGGTCACTCTCTAACCCTCCAATGCAATGGCTGACTGGTCTTCTCTGGGCCAGGACATTTGTATTATTTTTAAGTTAGCTGTTTCTTCATGTGTATTTATCCATCTAGCCTATCATTTTCAAATGTAAAGTGACCAAGGGCCAGGACCCTTCAGGTTTGTTAACACAAACCTAGCACTGGTCTCTATTTTCCAACTAAACTGACAGTCTTGCTCCTGGACACGACAACGTTGAAATAAAATGCGCACTTTGCAGAACATGTTCTACGGTGATCAGATTTCTCAATCATAAAAATGAAGCCCCAGATTACTGGTGCCATGTAACACTGGCAAAGCCGCCTGTGTGCATTCATCTCATAACGCTATCAATGCTGTCCTTTTAAAAAAGAATATGAGATTAGTTTTAAAATTAAGCAAGATGATAGGACTCAAATACTAAAAATCCAGAAATGGATAAATTTTTAATCCCATTAGTTACCAAGTATGTAATGTTTACCCAAACATGAGACAAATGTTATTAGGATTCAATGGATATAACATTATAGTGTCTTTACAAACTGTGCCGAATGCGCACATAAGCCAATATTAGGAAACAGGTAAATAGCTAAATATTTTAGCTATACCCAAGAAATAGTGCCCTAGTTAGTTCCCAAGGACTTCTGATAAAAACTAAGGCAGATACAGATAACTGCAATCCTATGTACAAGTTTCTAAAAAAAAAAAAATTTGGTTATACATTCCAAATAGTTACAAAACTCAAACAGGGTACATCATCAACAACTGCATGGCTAGACCAGTCACACAAATTTTTAAGTAGTCAAAATGAAGCTGCATGCTCAATACTTTGTAGTAAAATCAGTGGTATCCCTACCCCTAAACAAGAAGGCTTTTTTATTAAGTTGTTGTCTTATCTTTTATTTAAATTAACAAAAACTTATTTCTAAATAGTATTTAACCTAATGCATTCTCTGAAAAGTTTTTCCAGTCACACATTATTAGCACATGGGTTTCAAGTGTACTGATTACCACAAAAACCACCTCATATTTCATTCAAGCTACTGCTGAGAGGAATTCAGACAGGAGCTTAAAAGAAGTTATTTGTAATTTAAATAGACATTTAAACATAGTATGTTAAAAATTAACGTAAGGTTGAACTCAGGAAAAGTGAATCATTTTGGTAGAGTAAAATTCTCTTTAATACTTGCACTAATGTGCTACTCCGGAAATGCCGACAAAGCCACGCTCAAAAATCGTTTGTTAAAAATGACCTTCACCTAAAATGGGCTCACAGTTAGTAGGGGCTTTGGTGTGAGGAAGATGATAACGTCACACTACCATGCTGCATATATATTAAGTTAAGTCAAGCCACATGTGGCTAATGCAGGGACCGGCTTCCACAGAGTGTTTATTCGATTGTTTCAGGAAAGCACAACCTTCAGCTCCACCAAAAATGGTAGGAAAAGGTGAGTGGACAGACGTTTCAAGACTTGTGCATGACATATATCAATAAAAGGGTGTGTGTGTCTGGCATTTTCTCAGGTATGAAAAATAATTAGACTAATATAAGTCAGCATCTCCATTTGCGTTACCAATTAATGTAGAGGCAAAAAGAGGGCTGAGAGACAATTTGGGGAAACGTGATTCCAGCAGGCTAATAGTTGTTGTTGAAATGAAGTATCATAAAATGTTTACCTTTTCCCATCAGTTGCACCCTGCAAACTGCTTACTCAAATCAGACTGTCAAGGTTATAGATCCTGCCTGAGAATTTTGTAAATCCCTACATGATTTCTTCTCTGAAAATAAATTCATCACATAAACTAACCAGAAACTTCCTTTCTTTTTTGGTCTTCTGACATGGCGAAATTTTGATTAGACAAATAAACATTTTAGTGAAAATAGAGAACCACAAAATTATTCCAGAACTAGTATATGAAGGCATTCTTATTCTTTATAAAAATTATCATGGAACTTAACATAACACATGTAAACAGGTATTTAATTTTACTAAAGTGATTTATTTTGACAATAGTTCACATTATGATTTTAGTTAATATGGAAGGTCAATAATGCATCTATATCTTTATATATGATATGTTTATATATAAAATATACATACACTCAAAAAATACCTACACACACAGTGATGACAACTACGTCAAGTATACCCAATTGGAAAAGAATAAAAGAGACTATACAAAAATAAAAACGTTAATTATGTGAGGATAGGTATTAAGGGGTTGTTTTTCTTCATTCTTATACCATTATTATTGCTTTTAAACTAAAATATATTTATTTTGGTTTGGTTATACATATAAAACCACTACATGATTTAGAGATATTAAATAATGCTGAAATATGATTTCTAAATAAAACTATTAAGTAGTCTTAAAATTCATGTAAGTACAAAATCCACATACCTGAGCCAACCTCTTTTTCCTCTTCTTCAATGTTGTTTTTGATGCTATCATATTCTTCATCAATGGTCTGGTTACCACGCATCTGAGATAAGATTCTACGGGCCTTCTGAGTCTGTCCTTTCTGAATAAGCCATCGAGGACTTTCAGGTAAAAAGAGAAAGCCAAAAAACTGTATCACTGCTGGAATTGCTGCGAGTCCCAACATGTACCTGCAATAAGAAATCCATACATTACTGTAAAATTTGGTCTTATTAGCACTGAGTATGAATACAGGGTCTGTGTTCACCACACTGGGAATAATATCTAACGCTAAATTAGTCAGAATGATTTCCTTTTTATTATTTGCATATGTGTGTGTCACCAGAAAAAAGCATATTTTTATGCTGTAGTGAGAAATTTAAAAATGAGAAAAATTTGCTTCTTCTCTCTCTCACAAGTTACAATGGAAAACAACAGGCAAAAGTCACAATAATTATGTATATGTATTCTGAACCAAACACATCATGCAAAACACCATAATCACATCCCTATCTAATACTAATATATGCAACATAATTCTATATTTTGCAATATAAAGTGGGGCTAAGACAAAACTCTCTGATATCAGTTTAAAAGATACACTTTTCACTAAAATAAATGCCCAAATATATTTCTTTACAGTTATTCTTGCTCTGTGAATGATTAGTTATGATTTCATTTTGCCATCGAGTATCATGTTCACCCTCACTAATTGAGGAGTATAAGCCCATGGCAGAAAAACGATGGAGTCAGAAGCAAATAATCATTATTAAAATTACAGAAATATGAAAAAGCTGCTCATATTGTTTTAAGTTATTTGTCATCTTCTTTAAATGTCTATTCTAGAGGGTTGGCAAAATTCTAAATAGCAATAAGCATATCATTTTAAATCCATCAGAAAAATAACAAAAATAGTAATAAGAGTATATCAATATCAAAGATCTCTCCAAATTATTCTGACCACTGGACTGATTTCCTAATATCTCTAGGTCTCCATTTTTTTGAACTGAGCAGTTAGATTAGATAAACTTCAACGTCTCTTTCAAACGGAAACTTCTATGAATCTAGGACACCTAGATTTTTTCTATTGATTCAAGTCCCTGGGTATGTTCCATGGTAGATTCATCATGGCAGAGCTTGAAGGCCAACTCCAATCACATAACAACCCATACTCACTGGGATTCATAAATCAACAAGAAGTCACCTGATTCAATACACTTTTCAAAGCTACTCTAACTTTTAAGCTATGTTAAATCCAAAGTATAGCAGCCTTGAAGGCTCCAGATACATATCTTGTGAAATAAGTCCATTATTTTTCAGGCAATTTCATTTTAATTCCAATAACTGTAAAAAAAAAAAAAAATACAATTGTCATATGGGTGTTAAGAATACCTCCTACTCCAAACAGTAGCTAAAACTACATATGGAAACAGAAAAATTAACTAAGATTTAGGAAGTAAACAAAGTGTTTATGAATACAACCAAATGAATCACTTGGCCTACAGTATTAAAAGAAATTTTATTAGAAGCATTTTATACTTTAATCCATGGGCTGTGAAAATGACACCAATAATTAATCAGTTCTTCCTCTGCTCAACTACAGAACACAGTGTTTTAACCTCAATTTATGTCACTATACCTTGTATCATACTAAATTATTTACCTGTCCCGTTTGATTGCATATTTAACTTTATATTTGGCACAGCAGCTAATAAGTATGTTGCACACCATAGGCACTTAGTAAATGTTTTATGAAATGATACAATAGCAGCTATATATTTAAACTTTCTGTATTAACTAAACAGAAAAGAACTGTGCTTCCCACTCATATGGCAATATTTTATGCAGCAACTCTTCTGGATCATTTAACTCTGCAAACTTACTTGCATAGTAATTCCTTCCAATGAAACCATTTGTTATTCTAGATATAACCAGACCTTCTCTTCTGAAGAAGACCACTCATCTGAAGACTCTTCAGAAGTCTCTTCAGAAGTCTTCAGATGAGAGCTAGAGAGATCAGTTCACACACATGCCTATTTCTGGCCTCTTCCCCTTAAGATGTTAACCTGTATAACCAAATCTGTTATTTAAATGTATGTTTGATTGTTGTAAAAGGATGAAATTTCTATTCAGTTGTGTTCTCTCTTAAAGAAAAGGTTATCCTGTATTGCCAATTATTTAAAAGAAAAGCGATAAAAAGGTAGACACAAAACATACTGGATTAGGAAATAAATAAGAGAAGCCCTAAAGATGACAGCCTTTATGTTTCATTTCTCTACACCTTTCATGATCTTTCCTTCTGTTCTCCAAATCCCCTTAGTGATGAATTAAGATTAAAGGCCTGCACAGAATACTTCAAAGATGCACCTGAAATGAATATAGAAACTGAATTGTTTTCAGGCCCAAAGATGCTCTTATAATACTTTTCACTTTACTACTCACTATTTAATCCCAGACCACAGTGTTTTTAAAAATTAAAAGAAAAAAGAAGAGAGAAGGGAAGAAAAGAGAAAAGAAAAATTCTAACATACATATTAGCCTATATTTCTTAAGCAAGCTATAGGAGACAATACTTCAGCCCTCCAGCCTTTTGAAATCTGTAAGTCCCAAGTCTAGGTCTGAAATTTACAATTCAATGCCATAATATTAGGGTGGGGAAAAGGAACTCACACCTTGCTGCCAACCTTTCAGGATATTAAAGCTTGTTTCCAGAGACTATTCAAGATAAAACATGTTTTATACATTTACATCCTAACATTTCTCTTCTAAAAGTAAAACAAAGGAGCTTATTTTACCATATTTTAACTACTTTTCATGATAATAATATTTTGATAGGAATAAATTTCCACAGCTTTGTAGAGACCAAATACACAAGATTGGGGGTAGCTGTGGTTTATGATGGAGAGAGAGTAGGAACAGACCTGGGCTGTGCTTCAGCTCTGGGCATACAAATTACAAAACCGTGGTCAAGTTACTTAACATTTTAATGCACAGGTGACTGTCTGTTTCATAGGACTGCTGGGAGAATTAAGTGAAATCATTCCGTCAGTACCTAGCACAGAGAGGATGCTCAGCAAAAAACATTCTCACCTCCCTGACTCCCTCCTGCCTCAAACAATTCATGTCAACTTATCTCTCCTGGCTGTAACATCCACCCAAACTTTCAGTAGGTAGTACTAACCAATTTCTTTCTTGAGGCAAAACTGTTCCTCTGATGATATGCATATTGGAGAATAGGAAGGATAAATACAAGGTTGCTTTGCTGTGGTACTGATGAAAATTTTATCATGAGACTAAAAGAGCAGGAACTCTGTAGGCTTAGTTAAGGGACTCACCATCAGTCCTCTAAATCCAGGGAAATCAGGAACCAGATAGATGACGAAGACCATACTGATAGACCAGGGCAGGCAATCCCCAAACAAACAAGTAGTCCCCTAGTGATAGGGGAGATCTCATTATTATCACTTAAATCAAGGGTTCTAAACCCTGGCTTCACATCAGAATCATCCAGAGGGCTTTTAAAACACACCTGTGTCTAGGCCTTACTCACCTCAGGGGATTTTGATTAATTGGTCTGGCCCAGGGAATTCTATTTTATTAAAAGCTCCCTAGGTGGTGCTAATGTGCAGTCAGGGCTGAGAACCACTGATCTAAGTGTTTTAAAAACCAAGGGAGGTGGGGTGGGCCGGCCCCGCGGCTTAGCGGTTAAGTGTGCGCGCTCCGCTACCGGCGACCTGGGCTCGGATCCCGGGCGCGCACCGACGCACCGCTTCTCCGGCCATGCTGAGGCCGCGTCCCACATACAGCAACTAGAAGGATGTACAACTATG